GGCCGGACTGGCCGAGGACAAGAGGAGGAGCTGCCAGAGGAGTGTGCACACACCGCGGGCGCCCCTTCCCTGTCCCATCAGCGCCCGCGGGTGTGGACAGCCTTTTCAGAGCAGACACGTCGCCCCTCAGCCCTCTTCGGCGCGCCGTCACCCCCTCCGTCCACGGCCTGCGTTTGGGCACAGAGCCAAGAAGGGCAGGCCCCAGAAGGGGCTCTAGCCCCTGGCCCTGCTCACCCTTTAGCTGAGGGCACAGAGGGGCTGGGGGTCCCCCACGGGGAGGGGCGGTGCTGTGGGTGAGAATAAGGCAGGAGCCACCAGGTGGCAGTGTGGAGTAGGACTCAGGCCTGGCTGACTTGCGGGGGGCTTGTGTGGTGGGGGGCTGTGTGATGGGGGCTGGGAGGCTGGGGGCTCTGTGTGTGTGGTAGGAGGCTAGGGGGCTGTGGGTTGAGACTCCGTGGGGGGTACTGTATGTGGGGTGGGAGGGGTTATAATGGAGGGGCCAACAAGGGTTGTGAGGCAGCTTCCTGGCTGCTGTGGCTGTGGGAGGCGCTGAGAGTCCGGCATCGTGTCCATGACTGGACTCGCTCCCCGTGGATGAGCTGCTCGGAACAGGGCAGGCACCTCGGAGATGAAGAAGAGGGGTGGGGTGGGGCTGGGCCGGGCTGGAGAGAACTGGGCTCTCAGGGGACCCACTGGGCAGGGGTACACCACGCTCCCCTGGGTATCCCCCTCCAGTGGGAACCCTCATGGGAGTGGCTGATGGGAGACCTGCACCTGCAGCTCTCCGTCCGCTGGGCGCTCAACTTTGCAAAATAAGGAAGCCTCCCACCCCGTTTTCATCCATGAGTTAAAAGGGAGCCAAGAGGGACCCACACATTTGCAGAAGAGCCCCGACATTTCACCCTGCACAGAGTAAGCTAGCCAGTTCCCACTCACGGAAAGTCTGTGCAGAGCAGAAGGGAACCCTGCGGGGTCCCCGCCACCCTCACCCTGGAAGACAGAGGGGAAGTGCCCCATGGGGGTCCCGAGGCGGTCACCATTGCTGATGGTGCTGGGTGAGTGTCATGAGCCTGGTGTGGTGGTGGATGTGAGCGAGGCCGTGTGGGGCTAGTGGAGAGGAGCTATGGGTGGTTTTGAGTGTGGTGAATGTGGGCGTGGCATGGTGAGCCGGGGTGCAGTGATGCACAGGCTGGCTGTCACCTGGTTCCCACCCTTGGGCGTTGTGATCCCACCAAGGGCTAAGCCCGTGGTAATAACCAGCCCCCCCCCCCCAGTGTCTTAGGCTAATCCTGGCAAGTGGCGACTAAATCAACCACCTTCCCAAGCCCTGGGAATCGCAGGATCTCCACAGCCCCAGCCCCCTCAAAGGGATTTAAACACCCGGGAGATCCCTTCTGGGCAATTATCCATCAACCAACGGCCGCTCTCCCCCTTGTTAAAACGCTAAGGAGTGGGAGCACAGACTTAGGAGAGCCTTGCTGAGGGGTAGCGGCAGTGTTGGCATCAGTCAGGCGGGGATGAGGAACCGTGTCACCTTCTACCAGGGCAATTAACCCAGCCGCCAGACACATGCTCCACGGACTGGCCTTTCTGTGGGACACACAAGCCCAGCAATCTGTGCAGGGGGGTGGAGGGCAGGGCTAGAGAAAGGGCCCAGTCAAGGAACAGAAGACAGAGCAGTATTCAGGGAGTCAGGTCAGGTCAGGGTGAGACGCAGGCAGGTGCCGTGCCGAGTCCCGTCTTCGGTCGAGGAGACCAGGAAACGCTGTTTGTCGTGGTAACCCGGGCAGAAGCTGGCATCTCGGAGTCTGACGGCCACACACCAGACGATGGCCGGAAGCCAGCTCAGACGTCCACCCCCACCTCGGATTCGCTCTCAGCCTACTGATTAGCACCCCCATGACCCCCAGGCCTGCACGCAGCTTCATTCAGGGGTCCAAAGGGGTGCCCGGGGACTTAGGTGGGCCCGTGTCTCATGTCACTTTGGGCGATGATATCAAATGTCCATTTCTCGGCTTCGGTAGGGGATGGTAAGCTAGAGTGGACGGGCGCGGGGCTTTATGTGGATGGCTAGTCTCCCAGCCAGACAGACAGAATGCACTCTTGGCTCCTAAGTGGATTTGAACCCAGCCCTTCAAGGAGAGATTGGAACCCAGGTCTCCAGGAGAAAACCATTCACTGGTGTGGGTAAGTGAAAGGCTTCAATTTAAAACACAAGATACACACTCAACTCCGTGCCACTGAACGGGGCCGTGGCTGCCCGAAGTTCCTTCCCACTCAACTTGGCAGTGGATATGCAGAGGCTTGGGGACAGAGTATGCTCGGGAGGCTGGTAAGGGGTCTTAACATTTATGTGACAGAAATGTTCTGACTCCAGTCCCCGTGCTCAGCTATCCACAGCACGCCATGGATAGACCCTCAGCCCACGGCCACCCCCACCAGCTCTCGGCAGGCAGCCGCTCCCTGAGGGCCAGCACTTGGGAGGAACCCCCATCTGAATCCACACAGACTTTGGCTGAAGCTCCTGCTGTGACCCAGCGAATGGGGGCAATTCCCGCCGCCCCTGCCCCATAGGACTGGTCGCCAGGTGGTTCTGCCGTGTTCTGTTACCAGGCGCTGGGTCCTGGTGACTGTCCCCAGCACCACGAGCAAGGGAGCCCAGATTCCAGGCCAATGATTCCCAAGTTAGGGACCCAAGCCCGCAGCCACAGGCCCACTGGGCGCCAGCGTGCACCCCCAGACCCTGCAACCCCCGGTTCCGCCCCTGGGTCGGGTCTCAGCAGCCCAGGGGAGTGGGGACACCTGCACAGCCCCGCGGGGCCATGGGATCAGGACCAGCATTGGGGGCCCAGGGACATGGAGGGTGGCGCAGGGACATGCACAGTGCGCCCAGGCCTGGTCCGCACTGTGGCTCTAATGCCACATGCCCAGGGTCTGCACCCGCAGTGTGGCGCGGGGCTCCCCGGGAGACTGACAGGCCCAGGGCTCGTCTGGGGGTGGCTGTGGCTCTAGACTGCACTGGCAGAGGAGCAGTGGGTCCTGAACACAGCCTGGGGCAGCCCCTTCGCATGGCCCAGATGTCCAGTGGTCTCTGGAGTGGTCACAGGAGATGGGCAGCGGCAGGCAGGCCCAGGTCCAGGCACCCACATTGCGTCCTGCTGGTGGCCCCAGCCAGAGAGCATTGCCTCGGAGGTCTTCTCCCAGGACCACTGTGACCTGGCGCACACCGGGGTCTTGGGGGCAGCCATGGTACTGACCAACCAGAAAGGGAAGCCAGGCCTCAGTCACTCACCGCTAGCAGAGGGCCGTACCTGTCCCCACGGCACTGCCCACCTCCAGGTGCTGGGCAGGAGGTGCGGCTGGTGCCACCTGGACTGTGCTGGACAAGAGAAGGGCCCTGGGGCGCCTGGTCTGAGATAGTACTTGGGCCAGTGGGGAGGGGACGAGGCAAAAACCTGGATGCCAGTGACCCCCTGGAGCAGAGCGAAGGCTGAGGGAGAGCCCTGAGTACTGCGGACCTCCGTGAAGGCGCCAACTGCACTGCCTCCCCTCCCCCAACAGGACAGGCCTCTGAGGGTTTCTGCGACTTTGACTGTATACTGTATACTGGAGCAGAAGTCTCATGGGGAAGCAGCTGGTGGTTTTGAACTGCTGATCTGGTTTAATAGCCCCACAGCAAGAGCTGAGTGACCCGCAGAGTCCTGTTGACCCGTCTGCATGGCGGCGAGGGCTCTTCAAGGATGGCACTGTCCTTTGGGTATTAGAATCGCTCCAGTACAAAGATCTCCCCAAGAGGTGGTGGCTAGGGCTAGGTGCTGCCTAGTCCCCCCTCCCATGTACATAGAGGCAGCTGGCCCACAGGCAGACCAGAGGTAGCACGAGAGGGGAGTTTGCACTTGCTCCCGGAGCCCTCCACAGAGGTATCTTGTTTGCACTTGTGTCTGAAACAATTGGCTTGACAGACCCGCCCCCCTGGCTGTGGATGCGCCAGGCAAGCAGAGTGACGGTGACCGGGCTCGCTGCTGGTCCCTCTGGAACCGCTGCTGCCCTGTCTCCTTTACTTCAGGGCCTGCAGACATCTCCCTTTGGGATGGTTCAATCGCCATCTGGGAGACCCAGGGAGCGGAGGTCACGCCAGTCTGTAGCCATCAACAGGAACCCCACCTCTGACCTGCCCCTTCCTTTGCAGGTAGAACTGTCCCTCACCTGCTGGGCTCCAGCTACTGGCCCAGGGTACCCCTCCCCACACCCTCCGTAGCTCTTGTTCTCGCCACTGGCCCGGAGTGCTGGGTGGCCTAGCCCTTCACCAGCCGAGGGCTACCCACAGGCCTCTCATCACTGCCATCACTGTCCTGCTGAAGGTGGGCATCCCTGCAGGCTAAGCCCACCTACCTGTAAGCACTGGCCTGGGAGCTGCTGGGTTTAGGGGTGTGCCCGCCCTTCTCACGGATGCTGAGGGATGTCCCCCGGGTCTGGTATCCCCATGATCACTTGCTGCGCTTCCCTTTCTAACGGCTCCCACTGACTGAGGACAGGAGCTGCCACTGCTGGCCCACCCACTCCTCCAACCATCCCGCTGGCCCTGTGGGGCTGGGACTCCCCGGACACCCCCATGCCGAGAGGAGGAAAGCTTCAGAGGGCTGTGAGGGCTCGGACAGTCTGGCCATCATGAGGACGTGGGGCCACGCCATGCTTTGATCCGTTGTACACGAGGCCACCATGCTTCAGGCAACTCAACACCACTCACCCCCCTCCATGTAGTCTCTCCTTCCCTGTGTCCATCCACCCACCATCCAAAGCTCCACTGCTCACACACCCCTTCCACCCAACCCACTCCCCCCCTACCTGCCCACCCCACCGTCACTGAGGGGGGGCTGTCCCACTCGTTTTCCTAACAAGACTGCCTGGTGCTGAGTTTTCCTGAAGTGGATCGATGCACCATGATCAAGTTGACCTAGCAGTGCTCCCCACCACCAGCGTGTGGCTTTAGTTCAAACTTGTAAAGACTCATATATTATTTTTTATTATAGATCATAAGCAATTTTTAGCTTAAGGTAAAAAAGGTTCACAGTTATGATAAACACACACACACACACACACTCGCCCCCCACCCCACCCCACACAAAGCGAAACAGAAGCTGTTTAAAATGCAGACAGTTTAGCAGAGCCCAGAACATGGAGTCTGTCATGTCACCCTGATTTGCCCTTGACCGTGCCCTGCGGCCAGTGGTGCCCCCTCTCGCCTCTGGCTGGGAAAACCAGGATGACCTCGGAAGAAGCTGGAGTTACACGCATCCAACGGTTTAATCCCGCACACGCGCGCACACGCGGCACTTGCCGGCACCGCCACGCCCGAGATGGGCAGCAGTGGTCTGGGTTTTGTATCAGGAACAGCATGGCAGTCTGGGCGGCTTCTGTGTGTTCTTCCCCCAGTGTCTGATGTTCAGTTCAGGAGGGACGAGCAGCACTTTATGACCGCATCCCTGGTGGGGAACAAAGCGGAAAAAACGTCACCACCTGGGTGAGGCCGGCCTGCGGTGCCCTGGGCCCCAGACAATCCCAGAGGCACCATGGCTGTGTGTAATGTCCTTTGGGACCAAGCAGGACACTTGGAGGTGACGTGCTCACTGCTGTGCTGGCGTTTTATGGGGAAATCTTTGTAAGCACCTGAGCTGATGCTACTAAGCAGAAACTTACAAAAGACAAACCTTACAAAAGCCCAACTTCTAGAAAAGGGTGGATGGACCCATTCAGGCAGGGGTGGGGAGTGTCTGACCCTCGGGCGTATGAAGAAAACAAACCAAATTCACTTCCGTTGAGTTGATGCTGACTCATAGCAACCCAGTGGACAGGGTAGACCTGTCCCCTGGCAGATTCCGTGATGGAACTCTTTACAGGAATAGAAAGCCTCGTCTTTCTCCTACAGAGCCACTGGTGGTTTTGAACTGCTGACCTTGTGGTTCTCAGTACAATGCATAACCACTATGCCACCAGGGCTCCTACACACCAAAGGAGGTCTGCAAAAGTCATTCGTACTGGCTAACCTCACAGAGCTCACGCAGGGTAGCAGTTCCAGCCATCACGTTGGGGTGAATTCGTTCAATGGTCGGCCAGTGTGGCCTGAGAATGATGTGACAAACGTCGAGTGGCCCCTGACATCCTTAAGGGCAGATGTTTGCAACTGGACCCAAGGATTCATCCAAAGGCTTCAGCAGAGCCCTGCTACTTGACCCACACGTCTTCTCATCCAGGACACTGCTGGCCACCCCGGGGGCTCTGGGAGTCAGGGGCATGGGGAGCAGGGCAGCCTCTCTGAGGACGAGCAGCAGGGGCCAGCTGTCCACATCGCCTGCACTTGTCAGTGACACCCGTATGTTCTCTTAGCCGCCCCCAACCCCCCACACCAGCAGTTGGCAGGTTTATGTTTTCCTCTTTTACATAAAAAAGAATCACCCATTTGAAACTGAATAAAGAGAACTCTCACCAGTTTCCCTCCCTGTTTTCACTGTTGCCTGTGCAACTGTGCCATCGGAGTCGCTTCCAACCCAGAGAGAACAGAGCAGAGCCCGGGAGACAGAGGAGGAGCCCTTAGGGTCTGCGGCACCATGGTAACCGGAGCAGACTGCCGGGGCTTTCTTTTGCAGAGCTGTGGGTGGGCTCCAACCATCAGCCTTTCAGTTCCCCGCGGAGCGCCGAACCGCTAAACCGCTGTGCCCGCCACCAGGCTGCTCTGTTCACATGACGCACACGCACCATTTTCACGGTAACACACGGCCCAGGTGCAGACTCTGTCCGGCCCGGCACTGTGGTCTGGCAATTCACTGCTGGGAGCTCACAGTCCCAGGCACACGGAACAGAGTCCGTGTCCTGAGCCAGCCTCACGACTGGCCTTATGGCCGAGCCCAGTGGGTCAGTCCGCCTCGTCGAGGGTCTTCCTGTGTCCCTGCCCCTCTACCTTACCAAGCAGGACGTCCTTCTTCAGGGACTGGTCTCTTCTGACAGCATGTCCAGAGTGCTTGAGAGGAAATCTTGCCATCCTCGCCCCTGAGGAGCATTCTAGCTTCACTCTGTCCAAGGCAGAGTTGTTTGTTCTTCCGGCAGCCCATGGTATTTTCAAAATTCTCCCCCACAATTCACACGCACGCATTCTTCTTCCATCTTCCTTACTCACAGTCCAACTTTCATGTGCATCGCTGACCGAACACACCAGGGTCAGGCCCTCCTTAGTCCTCAAAGGACACCCTTGCTTTTCAATATTCTAAAGAGGTTTTCTGCAGCAGATTTTGCCGATGCACTGTGTCTCTTGATCTCCTGACTGCTGCTTCCAGGAGCAGTGATTGTCTTCACTTTTTCTCCATTTATCACGTTCCCTACAGGTCTGCTCGTGGCGCGTTTAGTCCTCTGTACATCGAGTCTCGTCCACACTGAGGCTGCAGTCCTGGATCTTCATCAGCAAGTGCTCCACCCAAGTGCTCCTCACTTTCAGCAAGCAGGGCTGTGCCAGCCGCTTGTGGCAGGTTGTTGATAAGCCTTCCTCCAATCCTGAAGCTGTATTTTTCTTCATGTCACCTAGCTCCTCTGATGATTTAAAGAAATATGGTGAGAGGTACAACCCTGTCACACACCTCTCCCGATTTAAAACCATGCAGCATTCCCTTGTTCTGTTTGCACAACTGCCTCCTGGAATTCCCATTCACTCAAGGCTATCCACAGTTCGTTCTGATCCACACAGCCGAATGCCTTGGCATAGTTGATAAAACACAAGTAGACACCTTTCTGGTGTTCTCTGCTCTCAGCCAAGATCCATCTGACATGCAGTGAAATTCCTTGCTCCACATCTCTTCTGACTTCAGCCGGAACCTCTGACAACCCCTGCCGATGCACTGCTGGGAATGTTGTTGGCTGATTGTCAGCATAATTTTACTTGCAGGTGATACTAATAATTTTATTCTATCACTTGAGCCTTCTGTTGGGTCACCTTTCTTTGGAATGGGCACAAATATGGATCTCTTCGGGTCAGGTGGCCAAGCAGCTGTCTGCCAAAGTTCCGGGCACCAACAAGGGAGTGTTTCCAGTGCTTCATCAGCTTGCTGAAACATCTCAAATGGTCTTCCGTCAGTTCCTGGAGACCTGTTTTTGGCTAAAGCTTTCAGTGAAGCTTGAAGCTCTTTCTTCGGTCCCATTGATTGGTGCTCACATGCTACCCCTGAAATGGTGGACTGTCGACTGGTTCTTTTGGGCCAGGGATTCTGTCTTCTTTCCGTCTTCTCTTGATGCTTCCTGCATCACTCAATATTTTGCCCACAGAATCTTTTAATATTGAAACTAGAGGCTTGCATTTCTCTCTGGTTCTTGCGGTTTAAGATATGCTGAGCATGCTCTTCCTTTGGGGATTTCTACCTCTAGGTCCTTGCACCTGTCATTATAACATCTGGCTTTGTCTTCTCAGGCTGCCCTTTGAAATTTTCTGTTTGGCTCTTTGACTTCATCTTTCTCCATTTGCTTTAGCTACTGTACGACTGAGAGCAAGGTTCAGTCTCTTCTGACGGCCACTTTGATTTTTTCTTTCTTTCTTACCTTTTAAAAGATCTTTTCCTTTCTTCGTGAACGATGTTCATGATGTCCTCCCACAGCTCATCGGGTCTCTGTCGTTCGTGTCAATGTGTCAAGTCTACAGAGACGGTCTCTACATTCAGGTGGGGCAGATTCAGGTTAATGTTCTTCCGAGGCAACCTGAAGCTGCGTACCTAAGAGCAACTGCCGGGCTGTGCCAGAGTGGGCCCTGGCCCGCTCCCAGCTGCTGACACGGGTCACCTCGCCCCAGACACAGTCGATCTGACTGTTGTGAATCCCACTCGGAAGTCCGCCATCGGTGTTGTTGAGAAAAGGTATTTGCTACTAAGACGTTGTTAAGTCTGGCAAAACTCTACCTTGTGATCCCCAGCAATTAGTCTTATGCAAATTCATAATTAAATTAGCACTCCAGGGGGCTTCAAAGGGGTTGAGAAAAAATAAAGACTATGCCATATTTTAAGGCCCTTAAATTCCTCAGGCTGGTGGAGGGGTGAGAACTTATAAAAAATGCTTCCTCACACCTCCTTCCCAGTACCTGCTCTACCTCGCTAGAGTCCCTGTTAACTCTCCCAGGAGGAGAAAGCCTCCCCTTTCTCCCACAGCTTAGGGGCGGTCATGGGTGCTCAAACATGTTGATAAGCTTCCCGTGAGTTCATTCAGAGATCCGCAAACAGACACGATAAAGAATAAGACATGTGACAGCAGATTCAAGGAACAGACCAGGCAAAGTGAAATGGGCCGACTCACCTGGCGTAAGGGATGTACGACAGGCTGTACCTGGAAGAGAATGCCAGACAGTGAGATGCCTCCCACGGACCTTCCTCTACCCCAGGGGCCCTGCGCACACAGCACGCACATGTGTACAATACCCGCCAAGGCCTTACAACTCTGACTCTGTGACCCCACGGCAGGCACAGGCTGCCTGCCCTCTGCTCCTGCTTCTCTAGAGCAACACTTGGGAGAGCTGAGGCTGCACCGCCCTCGGGGACATGAGGGGCAGGCTGCAAAATGGCAGGGACTAACTCACCCCAGCCCCCTGCCCCGTCCCCGCTGCTCCATGTCAGCGCCCCAGTGTGACAGAGGGCGCGGATCTGGACTTTCCTCGCCCCCCAGAGCAGCTGCGCTGAGGCCCCCCGGGCTGAGAAAACCCCAAGGAGACAGACTCAGGCGCCAGCTGCGCCCCGACACGGGCGCAGAGGGACTCACCAGGTCATAGACAGGAACTGCAAGATGCAGAAGAGCAGGGCCAGCTCCTTCTTGTGCCACTGCCGACAGAGGGGGCCGGTCAGACCGCTGCACCCGCAGCTCCACACACGGGCCGGCTCCATTTGAAACTCAGCTACCCAGAGCGCACCCCTCCCTGAGGCCCTGGTCCCCCATGTCCCCCAGGGCGCACCCCTCCCTAAGGCCCTGGCCCCCATGTCCCCCAGGGTGCACCCCTCCGTAAGACCCTGGTCATTCATGTTCCCCAGGGCCCATGCCTCCATAAAACCCTGGATTCCCATGTCCCCCAGGGCGCACCCCCCCTCCCTGAGGCCCTGGTCCCTTGTGCCTCGAGCCTCACTGTGTCACCACAGCAGAGCAGGGCCAGGCAGGACTTCCTGAAGGCTACATCCATGGCCCGCCAGCCCCGCTCTGAACAGCTCAGTGAGGCAAACAAACCACAGCCTTGCTGTCTGCAGGACGGGAAGTCCCACCACGCACACCTCACCTGGCTCCCCCTCCCATACACGTTTTTGGGAGGGAGAGTGTCTATGGACTGACGCTGACGACAGCCTCCACGTGCCGGAGGACCCTGGCCCTCTAGTTACACCGTCTTTCCCAGATTACACGGCCCCACGGGTGGCGAGAGGCTAAGATGGCTCGGCTTATGTGGGGCACCGAGGGGTGTGACCTGGATGAGGTGGCTCCCCCTGCCCAGTGCCCACAATGGAGGGGTCTTTCTGAGGCCCCATGCCACCCTTTCTTCACTGACAGCTACAGGCGGCTCAGGAACAGTCGGTTGCCTCGTTGGGAAGGAGAGGGGACTGTGAATGAGCACAGGGGATCAGAGCCTTGGTCTGAGCAGACTGTGGGAGTGTGTCTCTAACGGTGCAAGGAGCTGCCGCCCGAGCTCTGGGTGGGACGTGCCGATGGAGGTGCTCTGGGCTCTCTCGCCTCTTTCCAGGAGCCCTGGTGGCACCGTGGTTAAGGCGCTAGGCTGCTAACCAGACGGCACTGCAGACCCCTTTCGCTACCAGGACCCTTTGCCTGTAAAACACACAGACTCTGCGAAGGGCAGTGAGACAAGGCTTGCACACCAAGGGCTGTGGACAGACCCACCGGTGGACAGACTGGACCCCATGCTGTCTGCAGCCCCATCACCACCTCACCTCCGTCTCGGTTTCAGATGAGAGGAGGGATCGCAGGGCAGCCACCCACTGGGTGGCACCATGCCCAAATGGGACAGTGATGTGTCACCAGCTGAGAAAGCAGCCGGGCGGAGGGACGGCACCAGCAGAAAGCCAGCACCTCGCTGTCTGTCACTTACCCAGAACACAGCGCACAGGGTGATCACGAAGCAGAGCTGGGAGGAAAGGAGGGGGTGAGGTCAGAGCCGTCAGCACGGGCACCAAGGGCACTGGATGTGATGATGGTTCCTCGAGTGCCCTGAAGTCCTGGCAGGACTGCTGCCAATCTCCTGACAAGGGACAGTGCTGTGTGCCACGTGCACAGAGCTGCCACACGCACACAGGCTGGGGACAATGCTATGTGCCACGTGCACGGAGCTCCCGAATGTACACCCACGGGCAGGGGACAGTGCTGTGTCCCACATGCACAGAGCTGCCACACGCACACCCACGGGTCGGGGGCTGTTCCACTGCTCTGCCCCACATGCACGAGCGTGTCCCCACGGTGGCTTGGATGGGGGTAGGCCGGAGCCCGGTCCACACAGGGAAGGCAGGAATGTCTCGGCTCCACGTCGGGAATGGTGGTGCTGCCCTCCCTGGGAACCAGCCTGCCCATCCAGAGGCCAGCTAGAGACAGGAGGTGGAGGCCAGGGCACCATGGGCGGCAGAGGTCAGCTCAAGGTGGGAAACAGGGCCAGAGCACCAGCACTGGGGACCACAGGTCGGCTGAAGGCAGGAAAAGGACCATTTGCAGAGACGAGCAGGAGCTAGGAAAGACGTGACCTGGTCTAGCGCTCTCCTGACTGGCTGAGGCCAGCAGTGACCCACCGACCCCACCCAAGGGCCACACTGGCACAGGAAGGAGGGGGCAGGAGGCAGGGCGGCCCTTGGCCTCCCATGCTTGGGCTCATCACTTACCAGGAGCAAGTCAGACCCAACAGGGCACTAACAGGGGCCTTGCAGCACGGTGATTGCTCTCAGTCAGCATTTACATTCCCAATGTTCCAACCACTGTCCGTTCACTTAGTCTGTGACCAGGGGGACTAAGTGACCAGGGGGACTAAGTGACCAAAAAGTCAAGCAACAGTTGCGAGGGCAGCTGAACGAACAAATCTATGCAGACTCTTAAAAGAAGGTAAACTTCCAGTAGTTGGACAGTGTAGCCAGCTTTCCAGCAACCTATTGTTAATTACTTGTAAAATACATGCTACTCCAAAACCATAAACCTGAACTGCCTGCCATCCAGTTAGTGCCAACTCATAGCGCCCCTGCCGGACTGGGCAGAACGAACCTGTGGGTTTCCGATACTGTAACTCTTAACAGAGACCGACAGCCTCATCGTTCTCCCAAGAAGCTGCTAGTGGTTTCAAACTGCTGACTTTGTAGTCAGTAGCCCAACACGCGTCCCCACTGCACCACAGGGCCCCTCCCACCCGCTGAAAGAGCACATTCAAGATCCCTGGAGAATTGGGTGCTGACACTGAGACAGACGGAGACCAAGCCAGGACATCCGGTTTTAAGCACCGCCAAGAAGGAAGTGCTTTCCCTCTGCTAAGGAGACGGGAAGAGACCCAGCCCTGGGGCAGCCACCCTCCAGTTACAAGGCTGACATGGAAACTCTGCAGAGTGCCCGATCTCAGGGAGGAGTGACTGCAAAGAGGGACGAGCAGAAGAACCAGGCACATGGGGCAGGGTCACGGGGCAGTGACCTGCTGGGGTCCCAAATGCCATCTGTAAGTATATGCCTGAACAGCTCCCGCCACCCACCAAGGCTCCACAGGACAGGCCCAGGGTGACTGCCGTGCCAGGCCACCCAGCAGAGTGGCAGCCGACACACCCGGCCTTCAGGACATTCAAGGAACCATCACACCCAACAAGAAAGCCACCCAATCGCCCGCCCGCCTGCACCACCTGCCCGCCCGCACCACCTGCCCGCCCGCCCGCACCACGGGGCACAGAGCACGGGCAGCACCTACAAGCATGAGGATGGTTGCCACCAGCCTTGTCTTCTCAAACATTTTCTTCAGCTGCTTCATGGGCCCCATCAGGAAGCACGTACTGTTGAAACAAGACCAAAACCAGAGCTGAGCGGGGCCCAGCAAGGCCTCTGGCCTGCAAACAGCATGCACACACAGAGCTCATGTGAAGCCCAGCCCGTCCTCTCCACCAAGACCTCCATCCCACAGGGATGCCATCGATTCCTGTGCACGAGCGCTGACCCTCAGCCTTCGCTACCCGGCCTGTGTGCTGTCGGGATAAAGCCACAAGAGGGGCCAATGACGTACCTGGCCAGCGAGGCGAGGTTGCCCAGGGTGTAGAAGACGGCGAAGAGCCTCGTGCCCTTCGGCAGCCACAGCAGCCCCACGCCCTGCGTGGAAAGACCAGCCATGCTGCAATCACGCTGCCGCCCTCTGAGCAGCTGAAAGCAGAAACCTACACCTCCCGCAAGACACGAGTGACACAACGCGCCAAGCCACATGCCTGCTGGCACAGCCTGAGGAGCCCTGCTGTGCGCGGGGCTAGGCCTGGGCTGCTCAACACAAGGTCAGTGGTTCCAACCAACCAGCAGCTCCATGGGGGAAAGATGAGGCTGTCTGCTCCTGGAAGGAGTCAGGAAGGGATTATGAAACGGGAAGGAAAAAAAAAAAAACAACTCGCTGTGATCGATTTGATTCTGACTCCTGGCGATCCTAAGAGACCTTCTGGCATAATGGTTATGTGCTGAGCTGCTAATAGAAAGTCAGCAGTTCGAGACCCCCAGCTCCTCCGAAGGAGAAAGAGACTTCCCACGCCTATAAAGTGCTGTCTGGGAAACCCGCAGGGGCAGTGAGCCTACTCTGTCCTTAGAGTCACTGTGAGTCCTACTCCACTAGACGGCACCGAGTTTGCCTGGACGCCAACTCGCAGGGACCGCCCAGGGCAGGGCAGAACTGGCCCTGTGGGTTTCCAAGACCATAACTCTTCACAGACGCAGAAAGACCCGTCTTTCTCCTGTGGAGCGACTGCCGGCTGAGACCTACTGACCTGAGAGTTGCAGCCTAACACATAACCACTACACCACCAAAGCGTCTCTAAACATGTAAAAAAGGAATAAGCATACTTTAATTAATAAGCAAACTTCTATTTTTCCAGCTTTTGTAACACATTACTTAAAAAGTTTTCAAGTTGGCAAACTTTTTAAGTTGGCAAAACCCTGAACTACAACTCCCCATGTCTTTATTGATCTCTTTCGGCCTTGACGTTAGGCAATAAACAGCTTCATCAAGACAGCCTGGTAGCCACTGGGACAGGGAGGGAGTGCCAGCAGCAGTAAGGGGCAGTCCCCCGCTGCACCCCATCCAGAAGACCTGCCTTACCAGGACGGAGCAGAGGACACCGCAGGCGAAGCAGATGCCGAACCACCTGAGTCTGGTGCTGAAGCTGAGGGACGAACTGTCCAGGACCTGGGGAGATGGACTTGAGTCAGAACAGGCTCCAACGCCCACGACCGGCCCAGCCAGCACATGATCCTGCATGCCATCCCCTTCTGACAGCCCTGGGCACAGGAGCCGCTCTGCAGAGGGGCTGGCTGGAAGGCACCAGCACAAGAACACGCAGCAGCTGGGTCTCTACGGGAGCAGGGGCCTGGTGAGGGTTGGCGGGTACTGGGGGAGGGTGGCTGGGTGCTGTGTGTGTGCGCGTGCAAACATCTGTGGAAACTCTCACTGCAATCAACAGATGAGGCTGCTAAGGGTTTCAGGGAGGCTGCCTGCCATGGGCCCAAGATCCTTGGGCATGAGGACAGAAGCAGGCTGGAACATCAGGCTCCCAGTATGCAGCAAGGCAGGGGGTATCAGGTTCCCAGGATACAGCAGACCAGGGTGCTGGGCTCCCAGGATGCAACAGGGTTAGACACTTGAGCCTAGCATGCTGGGTGGGGTGAGGGTGCTCATGCACATGCACTAGAAAGGAGCCTTTCTCGGGAGGGGCTGGCATGGGGGTGGGCAGGGAAGGGGATGAAGAGTGGGCTCTGCTCTTGGCTGGGTCGTCACTTGGGTTCCAACAGACAGTGCAGTGGAACCAGTGGGGCAGAAGTGACTTTCACCAGTGTCACCACAGGTGGTCATTGCCTGCAGGTGGATCGGGGATGCAGCAGGGTTTCGGGAGAGCTGACAGATGGTGACTCCCAGCCTCAGGGGGAAGCACCAGCCACCCACACCTGCTGATTCTGGGTAAGTCGCATGCCTCTGTGCCAGCGAGCATCACCGTGTGTGTGTGTATGTGTGTGTGTGTGTGTGTGTGTGTTTCTCGCATGCCTCTGTGCCAGCGAGCATCGCCATGTGTGTGTGTGTGTGTGTGTGTGTGTGTGTGTCTCTCAGGCCTGCCTCACTGTGTGGTGATCCCCCATTCAATAAGTGTTCAGTGAAAACACTCCGACCAAGAAGGACACAATGAGAAGGGGCTTTCCCAATAAACTATCCCCGCGGCTGCTTCAGGAACAGAGAAATCAACATGTTTCTATCCCAACATTTAGTGTCTGACTCTGTCACTGCTGCCCCTTCACCAGGAGCCAGGAGTGTGTTCCAAGGACACTGAAAGACGCCAGAAAGGGCCGCGCCACTCTCCTTACCTCAACAGCTCCATCTCCGCTGACTCCTCACGCAGCATGAAACAGATAAGAATCACTAAGCAGTCTGTCGGTGCCACCCAGTGCCTTCTGACCCATTTTAAATCCCCTGATTTGCTTCATGGTCTTGTTTCCACGAATATAGTCCTCTGGTAACTGATCATCTGACTTAAACAGTGCGTGCACTTGCCTACAGAAATACCCAAGCGTGGTCCTTCCTGCTCAAGCACACACAGCAGGCATGTGCGACGTGCACAGGGGAACAAGCCTGCACGCTGGACCCCGTAGGAGACCAGGACAGTGAGACGGGCCAGCGGGGCGGTGACCAGGTGAGCTTTAGAAAATACCTAGACTCGAGGAGGTTGACAAGGAGAAGGGCAGCCTGTTTGCTTCTGTCCCAAGTCTGGTCACCCCAGGGGTATGTTCCAGGGCTGCTGGCCTCAGCCAGGGCCCCACCCCAAGCAAAGACAAGGGCAGCTGCTGGTCCTGTTGCCCCCACCACCACCCACAGGTTGATCTTCACGGTGAAGCGTCCCAACAGGTGACGTCTGTCTGGACATGTGCCTCTCCATCCACCTCTCAAGCAGCTGGGGGTCCAGAGAGAGGCAGGCCCCAAGGGCTCAAGTACAAAGAAAACGTTTTGAATATGATGATGGCAACATATACACAAAGGTGCTTGACACGATGGATGGATGGATGGTGATAAGAGCTGTACGAGCCCCCAATAAAACGATTTTTTTTTAAATGTGTGAAATGAAACCAGAAGTTGAGAGATTTAGCAAGTTCCATGGTGGAAAGCATCAGCAGGGGCATGGCTACCCCACCGTGTGCCCGAGACCCGTCAGTTACGACAGGAAGGAGCAAGTGAGGAGACACAAGACCCCCTCAGCTTCTCGGGTGGTTTTCGGACCTCCAGAATGAAAATGCAGCTCCTGAGTTGGTGGTCTGTGGGTGCATTCAGAGGGTCCCACGGGACACACAGACAGCAGATGGGAACCTAAGTGTGGTGGTCTCTTGGGGGCTACTGGTGGTCAACCCCTGGACGGTCTCCTTGTCACATGTTCTGACAGGGGGCACGGGCCTTCAGGCTTGCACCTTGGCCACCGGGAAGGTCTGAGTGGCCACTATGCTGCCTCTCCCTGCTCTCCTGCCACGTTCCTAAGCACCTACCATGGAGGCAACAACCAGCAAGCCATCCTTTCAGCTCTATGGCCCCCTCCGCCCGCTAAGCCTGTATCTGTGATAAAGGCCCACTTCTAGTACCCCCTCTCTGACCTCCACTACCCCTACCTACACAATCTCTGCTCGCCCCCTGCCCCGCCCTGCATTGCCCGGACCTCCTTTCAGGGCCGACCCCTCCTCTAACACCCTCCTCTCTTCTCTCCCTACCACCTTGGGGTGCCTGGCCAGTCTGACCAGTTCCTCAGAGAATGTCCCAACAGCTCTGTCCTCTGTCTGTCCTGCTGCATTCACAGGGCAAGTGGTGAGCCCGGGCTACGTCCCTCCCTCCGCCTGCACTGCAGATGGTCAACAGCATACCGAACTGGGCAAACCTGCTGTGACAGACCTCGGGCCTCTTGAGAATGCCACCTGGAGGACTAAGGTGCCCCTGACCCAAGGCACCTCATGCACGTGGAAGCTGGACACGAATTAGGAAACCGGAGAAGAACTGATACATTCGAATGAATGATGGTGCTGGAAAAGGGACCCTGACCGTGCCATGGACGCCCGAGCCAATCTGTCTTGGAAGAAATGCAGTCCATGCAAGACTTGGCCTCACATACTCTGGGCATGTCAAAAGCCATCAGTCCCTGGAGAAGGACACCATGCTTGGTCGAGTAGAGTCAGGGGAAAAGAAGAGCCCAGTGAGATGAACTGCCCCAGCAGCTGCAGCAGAGGAGTCCATCGTAGCAAGGACCAGGGGGCAGGTACGGGGCAGTCTGTGTCCAATCTGCTGTGCACAGGGTTGCTACGGGTTGAAACTGACTGACGGCACCTAACAACCTCAACAGAGCCACCCCTGCTGCTGAGCGTGGCTGGACAGGACCTCCAGTGTGCCCACTAACCCCCAGAGGGCCTCAGCACCGCTGACAGACCCAAAGGTGCCCAGCTCACTCCTTCAGTGCACGGGTCCTATCCAAGCTCTGAAGAGGGTCTGCAGCCCCCAGCTCTGACTCCCACTGTGAACTCCAGGGCGAGCTCTCTGTCTCCCGGCACAGGGATCCCAGGTCCAAGCCTGCAGGCTAATACTGACCAATCCCCCCACCCCCTCAGGGATGCCATGTACCTTATTTACATTATTAGTAAGTGATTTGATCTCCTAGGTGCCCCCACCCCCACCCCTAAGCACCTCATTTGCATAGTCTCACCCAGGCATTTGGGAGGGGCTACAAAATCCAAGTGGCTAGCTGGGCCATGATTAAGTAATGCACCACACTGTCCCTGTTATTAGCTATTTGCGCCAGGTAAAGTATAAGCTCCGGGTGGTTGGCACTTTATTTTTGGGTGGCCGTTGGGCTGCTAACCAAAATGACCAGCCTCTCCACTGATGAGGCTTTCTGCTCCCCTAAAGCCTAACAGCCTCAGAAACCCACGGGGGCGGTTTCACCTGTCTTATACGGCTATGAGTCCAGGGAACCCCCAGGCTGTGGGGGAAGCCCTGGGCTGCTGGCCTCAAGGCAGCAAACCCACCAGCTGTTCTGCTCCCAGCCTCGAGACCCACTGGGGCAGCTGACCTCTCTCGGTCCACTATGGCAGCTACTATTAGGGGAGGCTTGGTGGCGCAGGGGTTAAATGGTCAGCTGCTTCACAGTAAGGTCAGCACTTCAAACCCACGCGCTGCTTGCGAGTTTCCAACGGTCACTCCTTAGGAGGAGAAAGCCTGCCTTTCGCCCGCTCAGCGGCTGACTGTTTCCAACTGCCAATCTTTCCGATCCCGGCTGAACGCCTGACCAACCACTGTGCCCCAGGGCTTTCCCATGAAGAGTCCCGCGGGAGCGGACTCCGTCCTGTCGTGTCGCTCGGCTGGCACTGACCTCGGCTGGGTGAGCTGGGGCGTGACCATGACAACCCGCCCGACCCGTCGGGCTGCGGAGAGGGAGGAAGCTGGGGAGCTCAGGCAGCAAGTACAAGAGCCGCCGCGGAGTCTACGCTCCCCGGGCTCGGCTGCACGCGCCCCTGGGCGGCTGCAGGGAAGGAAAGCGCACTACTGTCCCCCACCCCACCCCCATGTTTAGGGGGAGGTGGCCCTCATCAAGCCTGCCTGCACACGCGCGGGCACACACACCGCACCGAAGCGAGACCGCTGTCTTTTTATAACTCTCCCGCCCCACGGCTCACTGCTTTCAGACACCTGGGCTCGGCCCGGCCGCTCCGCCCTCCCCGCCCGGCCCGCGAAGCATCTCCAGAGCTCAGTGGGCTCTAGGGGCGGCTGACCACCCGCCCCGGGATCGCTGGCCGGACCACACACTCCTCACGGCACCCGAGGGCCAGGGAGACCTGGGGGTCGTGGGGCAAGGGTCACGTAAAGAGGGGAGACGGGTAGCGAAGTAGGGCCCCGAGGGAAGCCAAACAGGAGAGGGAGAAGTGGGGTCCCCACGCGAGCTGACGTGGATCCCACAGACCCTGAGGGGCTCCTGAGGCGCAGCGGCCGCCTCTACCTCGTGTCCGAGCGCGAGAGCCCCCACGTGTCCAGACCCCGGCCCCTCGGCCCGACACACACGGTCACCCGGTTCCGGGCAGACCCCAGGGGGCCAGGGGGCGCAGGCACTTCCGGCTGCAGCCCCGGGGCAGGTGAGGGGCGCGGCGTACCTGCGAGGTGAGGCCCTGCTCCTCGTCGTCCTGGCCGCTCAGCACCCGCCGCAGCTTCTCCATGGCCCTGTCACTGGGGGCTCGCAGCCGCTGCCAGCTCGCTGGCCCACTGCGCCCACCCGGAACCCCAGGGCGGAAATCCCCCGAGCAGACCGGAAGTTCCTTATCCTCCGGAGTCCGTTTGCGGCTCTGCGGCCGCCGTAGGATTAGGCGCATGCGCCGAGCGCTTGTGGACGGCGACCAGGAAATCGGGCGGAAGATGCGGCTGTGCGTGCAGCCGACGGCGGGTGCTGCGCATGCGTCCTCGCACTCCCCGGACACTGCCTTGGCAGGTGGACCTCTTGCGAAGCGGTCGTGGTCTTGGCTTGTTGGACCGCGCTGGGAACCTCCAGGCTCCGCAGCGCTACGTAGGAGCCGTGCCGCTCGGCGCGCCGGACCCCGAGTGGACAGGGGAGGCGGGCGGAGATGGAGGCGATCCTGCACAGATCTGACAGCGAGGGGACTGAAGGGTCTTGGGGACCGATGCCCCGTGGGGACCCGCCGCGCTGGCCATGGTTGGACTGCCCTCCGCCGGGAAGGAGGCGCCCACTGCCCAGAGGCCGAGGCTGTTCTCACTGGGTACAGCTGCCCCACAGGGACCCTGGGGCTGTCATCTCTGGGGGAGCCGACCGCCTCGTCTGCCTCCTGCCGAGGGCCAGGGGTCTCCACCAACCTTTCCGCGCTGAGACCGCTGCGCCACCAACGCTTCACGCCAAACCCAACCCACTGCCAACAAGTCGATTCCTGCAGACAGCCAGCGACCCTGTGGGGCAAAGTAGAGCTGCGCCATTGGGCCCTGAGACAGCCTCTATGGAAAGGCGCCCCTGGTGCTCAGTGGTTCAAACCAACCAGCCGCTCCTGGAGGATAGGATGGCGCCGTGCCTTCCAGGAAGACTAATCCATAGGCAGTTCTGCCCTGTGGGTTCCCAAGGCTGTAACTCCTTACGAAACAGCCTTGTCCTTCCTGAAGGTTGCCTGGAAATCCGAAGGTTCAGCTCTCCTCTGTCCTATGGGGACGATATGATCCAAAGGTTCAGCTCTCCTCTGTCCTATGGGGCCGATAAGAGCAGAGTCCACTCATTGGCAGTGGGCATGCATTCTATCTGGAATTATCTCGGTAGGACAAGCTGCCTTGATCCTTTCCAATCAAAAGACAAATTCACCACCAATGAGTCGATGCTGACTCACAGTGACCCTGTAGGACAGGGTGAAACTGCCCCTGTGGGCTGTTGAGACTGTCACTCTTTAAGGAGTAGAGTCTCCCACAGAAAGGCTCGTGGTTTTGAACCATAACTTTGTGGTTGGAAGCCCAATGCGTAACCACTCTGCCAGCAGGGCACCTTACTCCTTCTTACTAACGAGAGTTATTTATTTACTCCATTCACTTTCCTGCCAGGGATTTGAGCACTTGGGGGAGGCACGGCTTATCTCACTCGCCTCTCCGGTTCTGGCCCCTGTGATGCAAGCCTTCGAACAAGCATTTGCTGTGGCAGTCAGTGTTGGGTGACCTCCACTACGCAGGGCCCTGACCTGCTCTTCCTCTGCCATTCCCCGTGCTAAGAAAAGGGGGTTTTTTTTCTTAAAAAGTCAGGGCTGTTTCTGTAGCATGGATCCCAGATAATCTTGGAGCTTTCCCGAAATTCACCTCTTCCAGATCATGTCAGCCTAAGGTCTAGCAGGGGGCCCCTGGGTAGCACAGTCAGATAGCCCCTTGAGGACTGACTGAAAGTATGACCATTTGAACCCACCAGGAGGTCCCCCTGAGAGGTTGGCAGAGCTGGCTGACCCCTCCTTGTGACTCTGGTCCAATCTTGTCTGGTTTCTTCAAGAAAGCCCACCAATAGCCTATAAAATTCAAGTATGTTATACTCAAGAAACAAACAAATCGGTCCCTTTTGTCTTAACATTGAGGAACTCTTGTTGATTTTGAGACAGATTAACAGGGCTGGCTGTTAATCTCAGCATGCCAGCTTGGTCAAATAAAAAAGAACTTGGCTGCCCCTATATAGGCAATGACATTTGTGATCTGCATTGTGACAATGGAGTTTACAGACACGGCCCCTCCAACATGACCCTTGGGAGCCAGGGCCACCAACGCAGGCCAACTAAGCAAACCTGACATCCATCCCAGAATAAATGTTGTCCATCAGGACCAGAAGCCTCCGCTATGAAATCCACATTGAGGGGACCGTTCCATGTGCATCTGGTTATGGGCTGTTTTCCTTGGACTCCCTCCCTACCTCCTTAGTAAACAGAATGTCCCTTCCCGCCCAAACCTTTAAAACCCCTCCGCCCTGCTTTTGTTTGAAGAGAGGAGGGTTGAGTTTGCCTAGGCCCTTCCTATCTCTGGCAGACTCTCCTCATAAGTTGTTTGCTCCAATGGAAAACCTCCATCTCTGCTGATTAGTCCACAAGAGGTAAATTTCTCTCTCACACGGTTGGCTGGGGAATAGCACCCCTGGCAAGGCCACGATGGGAAGGTCAGGCCACCATCTACTCCCAAAAGATCACAGCCAATGGGAGTCCTACAGCATCACTTCAGATCAAAGACAAGACCTCACCACAAGGTGGAGTCCTCTTGAGGACACTGGTTTTTTGTTTTGTTTTTTTTTTAGTGTCACTAAATGATCAGTTTTCCTCGTGGGTTTGCTGAGGTCACTCAAAGTGCCATGGAGTCGATGCTGACTCACAGTGACCCGATAGGACTGGGTAGAACTGCCCCTGTGGAATTTTGAGACTGTAACTATTTATAGGAGTAGAGCTTCATCTTTCTCCTATGGCACAGTGGTGATTTTGAACTGCTGACCTTTTGGATTGTAGTTCAATGCATAACTACTATGCCACCAGGGTCAAGTAGTCATGAAAATTAACATTCAATTACAGCATCCACTTGGTTCCCTCCCACCTTCAAAACGGACACATTTGAAAAGCGGACCCAAGAGACTTACTGTCTACCTACTGCTGCTGTCAGCAAGGATCATGCCTGATGTCCGTGAGATGGAAACAGCTGCTGCAGGGACTCTGAACATCCCCGATGAGCGGCAATGCTCAGCTCCCGAAGGCAGGAAAGCCGGTACCTGGCTTATTTATACTAAAATAAAAAGTCTTGTCTTTTTGTCTCTAATATTAAAATGTTAGAAAACAGTTGCTAAGCATATATAAGATAATAACCCCCTAAGCTTTTATTAACAAAATGTAATGTATGTCTGTCTATGCTAGGACATTTGGAAGACAGCTACCTGGTCAACTAACTGGAAGAGATCCATATTTGTGACCCGAGAGAATGTTCAAACTCTAGAACAGTATCACTGATATCCCACACAAGTAAAATTCTGCTTAAGATCAACCAACAACGGTTGCAGCAGGACATTGACAGGGAACTGACAGACGTTCAGGCTGGATTCAGAAGAGGACGTGGAACAAGGGACATCATAACTGATGTCAGATGGATCTTGACTCAAAGCAGAGACTACCAGAGAGATGTGTACTTGTGTCTCAGGGACTATGCAAAGGCGTTCACCCGTGTAGACCATAATAGACTGTGATCACCTTGAGCAGAATGGGAATTCCACAACACTTCATTGTGCTCATTCGGAACTTGTACGTGGACCAAGAGGCAGTTGTGAAACAGAACAAGGGAATACCGCATGGTTTGAAATTAATGAAAAAGAAGAGGAGGAGGAGGAAGAGGAGAAAGGAGAAATATACGTTTTTTCCAAGATTTTCCTTTTGCTGTTTAGTAAAAGCTATAAATTGAACAACATACCCCAAGAACATGGGTTGAAGTCCTAGACCTATAACCTGTACCTACGACTCTGTTAGGAGCTCCTGTGAGTCTAAGACATTTGTCGCTGGGTTGTTAGGTGCGGCCAGGCTGGCCAGCCACCATCTGTACAAGAGAAGGAGCCACCACCTGGCCGGTCACCATCCTCATAATGGCCATGTTCAAGCCCATGGTTGTCGGGGCTCTTCTTCCCTTTTGCTTCCCCTCGACTCTGCTAGGCGTGATGGCCTCTCCCGATCACATGTCCCAAGGATGTGAGAAGAAGCCTTGTCATCCTTGCTTCTAAGGAACATTCTGGCTGTCCTTCTTCCAAGGCAGATTTGTTTATTCGTGCGGTCATCCAGGGTACTTTGAGTCCTCCTCATCGCCGCCGTAATGCAAATGCACACATTCTTCTTCAGGCTTCCGTGGCCAGTGTCCACTTTCACGTGCACACGAGGCGGTGACCATGCCGGGACTCGGGTCAGGGGCGCCTTACTCCTCAAGGTAACGTCTTTGCTTCTCAGCACGCTGAAGAGGTCCTGTGCAGCAGGTGTACCCACTGCAACTTGTCTTTTTGATCTCTTGACTTCTGCGCCCGTGACCATGGATTGTGGATCCGAGCAAGACGAAATCCTCGACAACGTCAGCCTTTTTCATGATGGAAGCTCCAGGAGCCCGAGCGAGCAGTCCTATTCTGCTCGTGGGGCTCACTGTGCGCTGGTGTCAACTTGAAAGCGTCCAATTGTAAGCGTTGCCATCCCGGAGACCCACAGAGGCATCCTCCCTTGTCCTCGAGTCAGTGTGGTCCGAATGGACTCCCGGGCAGTGGGTTTGGTTTGTTGAGTAACTGATATTATCACCACCTTCGGCTTTGAATACTAACTCACAAGAGGGCACCATTTCCCCACAGAACAGGAGGCAATGCTGGGCCTTGGGAAGGGCCCATGGCTGTCCGCACAGCTGGGCCCCGCAGGAATGAATTCTGCAGGAGACGGCTGGTTGCTGGTTCCCAGGTTCTCGGCCAGGCCCCGCTTGTTTGTGAGGTGTCTCATCCACCACAGACGGCTGTGGGTCGCTCGGAACCACAACTCCACGTGAGAGAGGTCGGATGGAGAGTCGGTCACACACCGGTTCCGGTCACCATCAGCTCCTCTGAAGCATAGTGGCGTGGTCAGGGCAGCACGGTACCTCACCGAGTTCTCAAGGGCTGATCTTCTGACGTCAGCCGCCAGGTCTTTCTCCTACGGTGCCTCTGGGTGGGTGAGGACCACCAACACCGCTGGGCAGCAGATGAGCACAGTGACCGGGCCAGGGGCTCCGTGGC